GGTAGACCTGGTGTCCCTAAATTCCCCATTCATTTCAATGGGTAGACCTGGTGTTTTTAAAATCCCTATTGGTTTCAATTGGTAGACCTGATGTCCCTCTACAACCATTTCAATGGATAGACCTGGTGCCCTAAAAAATCCCCATTCATTTCAACGGGTAGACCTGATGTCCCTTCAATCCCCATTGGATTAAATGGGTAGACCTGATGTCCCTTCAATCCCCATTCTTTTCAAAGGGTAGACCTGGTGTCTTTAAATTCCCCCATGCCTTTCAATGGGTAGACCTGTTGTTCCTAAAGTCCCCAAGTATTTCAATGGGTAGACCTGGTGTAATTAAAGTCCTCATTGTTTCAAATGGTTAGACCTGATGGCCGTTTAAGCCCCGTTCATTTCAATGGGTTGACTTGATGTCCCTATGTTCCCCATGCATTCTAGTGGGTAGACCTGATGTCCCTTCAATCCCCATTCATTTCAATGGGTAGACCTGTTGTCCCAAATATTCTCTCCCCCCCCCATTCATTTCAATGGGTAGACCTGATGTCCCTAAATTCCCCATTCATTTCAATGGGTAGACTTGATGTCCCTACAATCCCCATTGGCTTCAATGGGTAGACCTGGTGTCTGTAAGTTCCCCATTCATTTCAATGGGTAGACCTGGTGTCCCCAACACTCCCCATTCATTTCAATGGGTAGACCTGATGTCCCTACAATCTCCATTGCCTTCAATGGGTAGACCTGGTGTCCCAAAAATTCCCATTGACTTTAATGGGAGCTGGGAATGAACTGGGAAGGGACGAAAATTTTGGGAATTTTAGGAATATTTTGGGAATTTCTTCTTTTAATTTTGGGGAATTTTGGGGAATTTTAGGCCCCACCCCTCCCCTTCCCCCCTGATTGGCCGGATACTCTCGATGGGCGTGGCTCCCCGCCGCCTCCCCGATCCGTCCAATGGCGTAGAAGGCGTTGGCTCTGACCTCATCATCCGAGTCCCTCACGGCCAATCGGAACGCGGCGCCCAAATACGGCAAAAGGGGCGTGGCCTCCTCCTCCGGGAGGGCGTGGCTTAGCCGGCCAATCACGGCCGCCGCCCAGGACCGCGCCCCCGGGTGGGCGGGGTCAGCCAAAGCRGCCAATAGGGAGGGGAGGAGGCGGCGGAACAGCCCCGGAGGGGGGAAGGCCACGCCCACCCGGCGCTGGGCCACGCCCACCTCGAACAGCCAATCGGAGGCGGCCTCGCGGAGCTCCGAGAACTGGGGCTGATGGGAAAAAGGGGCGGGGTTTAATAGAAAAGGGGCGGGGTCAAAGGAAAAAGGGGTGGGGTTAAAAAGGAAAGGGGCGTGGTTTATTTTTATTGGCCACGCCCCCTTTAGGCCCCGCCCCCCACCTCATCAGCGTCGGGGTCGGGTCGTGATTGGACGCAGGAGACCTGGGGGAGGGGAGGGATAAAATTAGGCCACGCCCACCACGTTAAACCACGCCCAGAACCTCTTTAGGCCCCTCTCCCAAACAGATTTGGCCCCGCCCACCCTTTTAAGCCCCGCCCACAAATGCCAAAGTGCCTTTAAACCACGCCCAAAATCCATTTTAGCCACGACCACCCATTTAAGCCCTACCCAGAAACAAATTAAGCCACGCCCACGACACTTACATGCATTCAGGCCCCGCCCACCCTTTTAAACCACGCCCAAAGCCCATTTAGGCCCCGCCCACAACACCCAAATTAGGTTTAAGCCACAGCCGCAAAGCCCAAAATTAACTTTAAACCATGCCCAAAACTCAGGCCACGCCCCAAACCCATTTAAGCCACGCTCACAACCCCAAATTTGCCTTTAAGCCACGCCCACCCCTTTAAACCACACCCAAACC